TTTTACAATGCTTAGGTTTTTAATGCTTCAATATGGTATCTTTAGCATAACCACTATGCGGATATTTGATCAGTCAGTAATTTACCTCCAAATAATTCGTTATGAGATGGAAGAGTCATTCTTAAATTCGTTAGAGACCAAGAAGGAAAGAAATCTTAAAACAAGTAGACTTAAAAGAAAGCATTTTGGGAGACTAAATAATTATTTAGTATTTTGATAAAATATAGAATTTCTTGTGAATCTTCTTTAGAAAGAATGAATACCCTAACTGTTCCAAATCCTTACTGAGATGTCATATAGGATTTTTAATGCTACTTTAGAAAACCTTAAGCATTAAATCATCATATGCTTAATGGACAGATAACTTCTGTATCAGATGATGAGAGTATACCTAATTAGAACTCTTCTTTTTTAATGTCCTTATCCATACTAAATTAAATTTTCATGGGAGAAGAGGATATCCTATGGACTTATTTTAACTATAAGTCATTAATAATAATGTAATAACTCATAATATAATTCTCTTATGCCAAAAGGTAACCTAAAAATGATGCAATACACCCGTATAAACTTTCGATGTAAACACTATTCAAAGTGGCACAACGGAAGTGTGGCATGGATCCATAAACCACCACACATGAAAGATTTTTCTCTAAACCATCTAAAAATCACTATAAGTGAACTAGGCATAATAAAGACCCTATGATTAGCCCTACTACTACTGCAGACTATTCTAATACAAAAGTATATGACCTCCCTACTCTCTCATCTAGAAAAGACCTTAAATTTTCTCAACCATTAATAAAAGTATGCTCCATGATTATGACCAATGATGAAGAAAAAGGAGAGAAGAGAACTGTCAATTCAGTATCCTATAAGATCGACATTCAATCAGGATACTACAGACCGACTGTACTAAAACTAAAATTTCTAAACATAGTACGATTAATAGTAAATTCAGATGACCAGAATTAACCCAACCAAACCTTCATTAGCCATTAACCCTCGCATGTTGTTTTTTTATTCTTAAATTGGCATAGAAAAATTTGTACATTATACAAATATATCAAACTAGATCTTCAAGGTAGACACTCTCAAATTAAAATTTTAACATATGAAGAAATATTTTTTCAAGTCAACAAGGACTATGACAAACCCACGAGTCATATCTTAGTGTCATACATAAGAATAATCACTTGCTACATTAGAAGTGAAAAGTGTAATCCTTAACCACAATAAAAAGACAGAATAAGTAGAGAATATTATTAATTTTAGTTAGCCCATTATAGGACCCCTCTATCAAAGACTCCTAATAAATTTCACTAAGAAGTTGGAACTTCATAATCGCTTACTTAAAAGGAATTTAAAAAAAATTCGATCAAGTACTGAGGTGTCTTGGGAATCATTCAAACCTTGATGGGTAGAAATACAATTTGGCTCAACTAAGAGTAACTTAGTTAGGCACCAGACCTATTGAGTAAGGAGGAAGAAGTCTCGGTACTAAAATATTTTAAAAATTTTTAAAGGTAATTTTTAGAAATTAGATACAAATGATTTTCACTTAAAACATAGAAAATTTGAG